TATATTGTCGGTCACAATCTTCATATATTTGCCCCGATCAATGGCATAAATTGGAGACAGGCATTCCTGACTGCCCTGAGTTCCAGGAACTTGACGTGTAGAGTAGTCTTCCGAGATGACCACCTGTCGTAAGTTGCGTGAGTGTTGAGACGTGCTCCCCATCCCAACAGAGATGCATATGTTATCATGACCATTAGAGACAGTTGAGCAAAGGGGACTTCTGTGCAAATATTGTGAGGGTCTTTTCACCACTTGATGGACTTCTTCATGACAGAAGGAGCCGAGAATAGTTTGTTCAAGCTGTGTTTGCTTGATGAATAAACAGTTCCAAGCCACCCATAAAGGCAGTGCATGTGCAATCTCATGTGGCTTATCACAAAAGTAACACCTGCCATATGTTCCAATAATTGGAGACAGTTTTTGACTGATGTCTGGGGATTGATTTGGACTGTAGTGACTAAATTCGATAGGGTTGTAAACCTGTGAGTAGGAAGGTAGGATTTGGCCGCTACTGCATTAAGATAAACTTCTATAAACTCCAATCTTTGCACCAGGGTCAAGGGGGACTTTGAAATAACAATGGCCACTCAGAAGATTAGAACAAGGTCTCACTGTAGGAGCATCCCTTTTACTACCAATTGTCAAGATATGGGAACATGAGGATATCTTTTCTGAGAAGGTAAGCCGCTATCACTGACAGAACCATCAAAACCACTCTGTGAGCAGAAGACAGACCAAACAGAAGCAGTCCGTATTGAAAGTAGTTTTGACACAGAGTGAAACATAGGAAATTTCTGTGGGAAGGGTGAACTGCTACATGGAAATATGCATCTTGTAGGTCAAGAACTGAGAACCAATCCGCTAGGTCAAATGATGGTATTATTGCTGCAAGTGTTACCATTTTGAATTGTTGTATCTTCATAAGCCTGTTTAGGAGGTTTCGATCTAGAATCGGTCTCTACCCACTGTTCTTTTCTGAAACCAGTAAGTACCTGGAATAAAACCCCTTCCTGTGTGTTGTACAGGAACTGGTTCAATAGTACCTACGTTCAGGAAGGAGTCTATTTCCTGTTCTAGAAGATGCTTGTGAGAGGGAAAATGCCTGAAGAGGGACAGAGGGAATTGAAGGGAGGGAGGGAAGTAAAGTGGATGAAGTATCCTGCTGATATGATCTCCAAAACACACTTGTCCATAGCCTGTCTGAAGTGAGGAAGACAGTTCCCAAAGCAGTGAAGGCAGATGAACCATTGCATCTGGTCAGGAGTACGGGAGAGAACTCGAAACATTGACAACTCCATCAAAATTAGTGTTTCGATGATGAAGGTTGAGAGATCGATGCCTGTACAGCAGACAGACTTTTTCTGGAACATCTGCCTCATTCGCTGGAGTTCATAAGGGCTCTAGAAGCTGGAGACAGGACAAGATTTCTGCATTGTCTGAGACTTACTAACTATTCTTTTATGAGCAGTTGTGTAAATTCCTAGAGAAAGCAGAGTGGCCCTGGAATCTTTTAAAATACGTAGAGACTTGACGGTATTCTTCACAAACAATTTTAAGCTGTTGAAGGGAAGGTCCTCAACTGTATTCTGGGCCTCTCTTGGAAAACTTGAGAGCTGAAGCCAGGAGCCCCTTCTCATGACAACCATTGTAGAAACAGAGTGAGCAGCTGTTTCAGAGGCATCCAGAGAGGCCTTCAGAGATATTCTGGCAAGAAGCTGACCCTTTGTAATGGATTGCCTAAAACTGGTCCCTCTGCCCTGGTGGTAAATGCTCAACAAATGAATTGAGTAGTAGCTGTGATTATATTTCAGTAGTTGGTGATCCTAAACTGCAGAGTCACAGATGAATATGATCTGCAACAAAATAAAACAAGACACTTCTGATCTTTGCCGTATGTCGTTGATTTAACACAGTGCTGTCTTCCACGTTCATTTATAGCCTCAACAACTAGGGAGGAGTTGGGAGAGAGATGAGGAAATAGAAATTCCGAATCTTTAGATTGGACATAAAATTTCTTATCCGCCCTTTTATGGGTAGAATTTTGTGGGTAGAATTGTCGCTGGGTTATACCAGATTACTTTTTGCAGGATCCAGCAGAGCCTCATTAATAGGTAGTACAATTTGGGTAGATTAAGTTGTATGCAGAATATCTAGCAGTTTTTGTTGTGACGCCTTAATCTCTTCAAGTGGTATTTGTAATGGGTCTGCTATGCTTTTAATGAGGTCCTGGAACTGTCTGAAGTCGTCAGCCAGGGATGGTGGAGGAGGCATGACTGCTTCATCTGGGGATGAAGAAGAGATATTGGTTAGCAGGGTGATCTCTGTCTGTTCTCACCTCCTGCTCCTCGAAAGTCCCTTCTTGTGGTTCGGGCCTTCTAGAGGGAGAGGAATGCAGGGGTGGGGAGGAATTTTCTACTTCTATGAGCAATGAGTGATGCTAAGGGTCCAAGAGAATTGTTGGCGGTATGTTGCTCATGGATCCAGTACAACCATTGAGGGGGTCCATATGGAATAGGTGGGGGCACCCATGAGTGCTCAGATCATCAGGATGGACCTTGAGGGTGTCTTTCTCAAATTGATTTCATCTTCCTAGAATTCTCCAGAAAAATACTTGTCTGATAGTGAGGAGTGGAGCCCTGAAGCAACATTGGAGAAGTCAATGAGAAATCCCCATCGCTATCATCTTCAACATGACTTTGTAGAAGTGGAGCATCAGTAGAAAAAGATGGTGATGCCATCAGTACTAGGTGAATACCTGGAGAAGTAGAGGTCTCTATCAAAGAGGTGTCAGGCATCTCTCACTGTGACATCTCATGAAAATTTAACTCCAGTGGAACTGACTGAGGTGGCAGCCGTGACTCTGGCAGAGGAAGTGGACAGTACTGCAGGCTTTATGTGCTCCAAGGTGTGTCCACTAGATGACACTCAGATCTTCTGCAGTGTTGCAATGGTAGGTACTAAGAGCCTGGGTGATTCTATTGGTACTGACTTAGAAGAGGTAGTCTTCTTCTCCTTGTTGCCTCGATCCCCTGAAAATGTTAATGAACTTCTGGAGCTGGAACCCTTACATTCTTTGGGGTTAGTGCTGCTTACAGTACCTGAGGACCTACAGCTTTGAGGGTACTGAGTCAGGAACTGGGGGGGAGGCGGGGGTAGAGGGGAGATACCGAAGTAGCAGCCTCAATTTGCGAACAGGGTTTCTTTGAGGTATATTCCCTACCTGGGGAACCAGAGGTCTGCTCCCTAATGACTTTTTGAGAATATTTGAGTTTTCCTCTTAGAAGCTCTATGGGAGAGTTGTGTGGTAATGGTTTAGGAGCTCTATTTGCTCAGAGACAGGTGTATGGCAGGGCGGGGGATGTCTCCGTGGCTTGGGTGAGAAGCCAAATGGATGGAGCTCTTCATCATGAGGAGGTGCAATTTAATCTCCCAGTTCTTTCTGGTTCTAGATTTTAACGCCAGACAAAAATTTCACTTTCCCCAAAAGTGAGACTCCCCAAAGCATGCAAATGGATGCACTGGGAATGGTCCCGTAGCTCACTAGGATAGACTTCTGGCACAAAAGGCAACATTTAAAACCGTGAGAGATGGGCATACCCTTCCAAAAATCTAATGTCCCAACATGAGAAAAAACCAGAAAGGACAACGGTCTTTACTACTTTTAGCTATTATTAACTACCACTACTACAACTAACTAAGCTAAGTGAAATTATGGGGGGAGAGAAACTACAGTGAAGGAAAGCTCAACTCTGACACTGCTGAGGCTCCATCTCCAGCAAAATGGTTGAGAAGGAACTGAGGGCAGTTCGCCCATACAGCTGTATATACCCAGGGTAAAGAGCACAAGGCTGAGCAGAGCATATGCGCAGGTCGAACAGGCACTGCTACCTAAAATCTCCAAATGCACAGGGTGCGCGCACACACACACACACACACACACACGAAATGGAGCACCCATAGTGACACTACCTGAAGAAAAACAAAAGGTAATAAATTAAAATTATCAGATCAGGAAGATATACCTAGAGGGATACCCTCAGGATCAGTGTTAGAACGGATTTAATCATCTGAAAGAGGTATTAATCAGCATGCTAATGAACTCCAGAGTTGATATTAAAATGAAAGGAGATGGAAATCCCAACAAGCCCAAAGAAATTAGAAACATATAGAAAACAAAATGAAATTCAACTTAGAAAAATGTAAGCAATCTGGAAAAAAAATCTGAAAACAATGATGCACAAACAAAAGAAGAACCCTGGGAAGCAGTAATGCTGAAGAGAATTAAGGATGATAGTTAAAACAAATTCAATATGACTTTGCAGTATATATAGCTGCAAAAAGGCCAATGCATTTCTGGATTGCACAAGCAAGCGCATCAAGGAGAGGGTGGTAGTGGTCCTTCTCTATGCGACTCTAGTTTGATAAGACATCAGTTCAGTTCTGGGCAATACATTTTCAGAAAGATTCCAAAAAAGAGTAACTCAGGCAATCAGGAGGCTAGAAAAATTGACTGATGAGGAAGGGTCTTAAGAGCTAAATATGTACAGCTAGGGTAAGAGAAGGCAATAGGCAGGAGACATAAATGGATATAAATCCATTATATTTAAAGACTGAACACTAGGAAGTGGTGACATTTTTTATGAAGATATAACTAGCGACTATAGTTATGAGTAATGGAATGAAAAGTAAAAATTTAGACTGCTATTGGGATGGAGGGAAGCTTCCTGACTACAGGGTCTTCCAAGAGAAGTATTGGATGCACCATTGCAAAGAACTAGAATGGACAAAGCACTAGAAAATGTTTTAATCAGGAATAATCCTTCATTGCCAGGGAATGGTATGGGTGATCTAGATCTTTTATATCTCTAACTTTCACGATCCAGAAAAGATACAAGGATTAGTTATAAAGTGGTTAGATAAATGGTAGATACAGATTTTCTCACACATCTATATTATAATCTCCAAAATTATGTAACACTGTTTTTTCCAAATATGTTTACCTTCATTTTCCCACTGTACTTTGGATCAGAAATTGTTTCAAAGGCTGCATCTTTGCTCAGCTGGACAAAATCTGGAAACTTGGAAAATACCTGGTTGCATACCCTTTTGATATGTTCTTCCTATAAAAAAAGGCAGAAAATGTGATCATCACAAACAAGAAAAATGAAGTTCAATATTAGAGATAGTTTGGTCCAGCATTAATCTGTGAAAGAGTGAAATAGGCTAAAAGAGCACATTCTTGATGACACTGGAATTAGTAGTAAATTTATAAAAGTGCTCAGTACAAAAGCATCTGACAAGAATAAAAAAAAATTGAGGTTTTAGCTTAAAGGATAAGAGGCTACATGGTTAAATATGAGAATTCTAGTAACTAGAGTCTGCCCAAAACACAACATAGTCCTCTCTCCTAGATTAAAGAAAATAAAAGTGCATTGCCTTACTTGGAAAAATACCAATGGTGGACTTTGGCATATATTAAAGAGAGCATTGCAAAATTTTCATTCCCTAATGGAGAAGTTCCCAACCTCTCAAGATTATGAGGATCATTAATTTTCTGATCTCAAGTGCCACAATGGAAGATATGGCAACAGACTGCCTCGCAAACCCTCCCCCCCCCCTTTTTTTTTTTTTTTTTTTTTTTTTTTTAAGACTTTATTATTTGTTTAGTACAAACAAAGCTGGAGCTGGTCAAAACACAAATATCCTGTCCCAAAGAATTTACAATCTAAAGGACAGAAAGGACAGACAAAAAGACACTGAAAAATACAGAGGGAAGATTAAGAAAGATTTTTAAATCAGTATTTATACTATAACCTCACTTCTTGCTGGCTCCAAAGAAGAGTTGATTCTTTAGGAACAATATCAGAAAGGAGCGGGCAAACAGACTGGGAGGTTAAAAAAAAAAAAAGCAATGGGCTGGAATGGGAGGAGATGACAATAAGGCATTAAGACTGATCCTGAGATACTGAGTTCAGTGGGAGTGAGGGTGCTAGGTACCTTGCAGGGCCAGGCTCAAAAATACTGACTGATGGAACTAGAGCCCACGTTTCCTACTATCTTAGATTTTCCGGTTTGCTTACTGGCTGTAATTGTCAATATTTTAAATCAGTCTTTTGTGTACAGATATAATCAGACAGGTATCAACTGGCACACATACAGTAAATAATCATGGGAAATGAATTCACCATTAAATAATACTGCAATTCTAGCCTACTATATCATACCAGTAACTATTTCAAACACTGCAGCATACTGTAATTTCCATAAACCATTTGAACTCTTAATTTTTTGTCGTAACACTATTCTTCCAAAGCACGTCCAACAGAAGCGATATTTAAATGACATTTAGGCATTTACTATGGTGATCGGTGTAAGTATAAAGTCCTGGACTGCGAGGTGTAACACTTTTCAAAGAGGAACCGTCTTTTTGAGGAAGCAAATTGCCAAATCAAGCCAGGAATTCTGCACTTTTATCCCCATGAGGCCTCTAAATGAGGGTGATGACATCCCTTTCTATTTTACTCATTTGTGATCTTAGAGGTATATTGCAACACTTTAAAAAAAAAAAAGTTTCTATGCTGCCTCTGTCTTCACTTGAGGGAAGAAGTGAATTCCAAGAAAATATTGGTGTGCCAAAATCAGTTTAGATTCACAAATTCCCCCTTGCCATTCTAACAATTCAAGCTGACACTGTCTTCTCCTTGCCCCTACTTTGATAAAAGTATTTCTTCTTGTGCTGTTCAAAGCAATTCAGCTCTCTGAAAAGAACATAATTCTTTTGGAAAGCAAATTCCCTAAAATATTTTCTATTTTTACAAAGAAGCCCACCCGGGAGAAATTCTTTTGATAAACAAAAAAGTTACAAGTAGTTGCCTCTGACATTATTTGAACACTAAAATGTCTGCTTATCTCAATAATTACTGTTCCCAAAACATCACCAGAATTCAATTTTTAAAAATTACTCACGACTAAATGAAAAATACTGCTACTGTTGAAAACTATCGAATAAGGGTTGATCCTGCACTATAAAAGTCAATGGGAGTTTTGTCATTCAATTTTATGGGAACAGGATCAGACACCAAGCACTAACCAAAATACTTCAATTCCAGCTAGCTAGACAAAGAGATGAGGGTAAATAAAGTTGAAAAGAAGTTGAAAAGAAGTGGCCAGTCACAATTATAGCTAGCTGCTACAATAAGACTTTTTCACTAAAAAGTTTCTCCCTTTGTTTCAAGACTTTGCTCTTCAGGCAGATCCAAACCAACCTGAAGTTTGCTGGTGTTCTCGGTCTGTAGAAGAGCAGCATGATTAGCAACCTTCCGAAGGATTGTCAGGTAACTGAAATACAGTGCCCTCATTGTTTCACCATGGGCATTTGTCTGTAGAAACAAAGAAAACAAAAAAAGCAAGAATGCTTCCTAAAAGTACGAACAACCTAGAGAAATGTAAATATCCGAAAGTTATAGATATTCTAACCATATTTATTGGCAGCTGGCAGAATCAGGGTTCTAGAACTCTAAGATGAGAACTACCATTTTCAGCAGAGAGTGTATTTGCGATTTCTAAGTATTTTTTAAAACCTCTTCTACACAGATTAATATGGGAACCTTATTGATTTTATTAAAAATGCAGCATGACAGAGAATACCTACAATTTTCCTGCATTTTGTAACAAAAAGTATTAACGGAAAAGATTTCTTAAAGCTGACACCAGGCATAGGCAAGCTAAGCAATTGCTTAGGGCCCTGAGCAGCTCAAGGGGGCCCCCTATTATTGGTATGAGTTGTGTGGTGGGGTTCCAAAAATATTCCTGCTAGCACCGCCTCTGCTTCAAGACAACAATGTTGTTTATATTTGTTCTTACATATTACAGAACATGTAATTTATAGAAAGCTAAGGTGACCAAGAGGCCATGTAACACATCATAAGAAAAATAGAAATGTTACAATCAATTTAAATTCAAATTTAAACCACAGCTGTTTTAATGGCATCTTACCCAACAACAGCTAATAGTTTTCTTTCTGAAAAGAAACTCAACAATATTTTACCAACATAATAATAAAAATTATATAATTAAAATGACTTGAAATATTTATGCAAGGTTTTCTACTGCATCAGCTATGACATCAGATAATTGTGTTTTCCTGGTTATGGCTGACCGACTTTTGGCATGTTTACGTGTTTAAAATAACAGTCAGTGCATATCATTGAAGTTATTAGCCGACAAATAATAAAAATGATAGCTTTAGCACTTACACTCCATTTCCAATATTATTCTTAAATGCATACCATAACATTTTAACTACTGCCCAATCATGTTTTCCCCTTCTCCCTCTCAAATTGCTAGATTTCATGGGTAACTTCAGGAAGTTACTCTATAGCAATCTATTGTACACTTAAGCATCCAGGATGTGGTCAAGGGCTTCCAGTAATTTTAGGTGTCATTAGCGAACTGAATGAAATGGAGTGTCACTTTTCTCTACAAAACATCATGAGACATAGAAGCATGGAAAGAGCTAATGTTAAAATTGATGAAAAACCAGCAGCATACCCTCATAATGTAAAATGTATTAATAAAATAAACAATCCAAAAGCTGCCTTACTGTAAAAAGCATTTCAAAAAGAGACAAAATAGATAGGGTTATCACACTGAAGCAAAGCTGAAAAACATTTATAATGTACATGAGGAATAAATACACTATATAAAAGTGTGTCATTGGCCAGTATTATATGCTCATTTTACTATTATTGTAAAGTGTGCATTTGAATAATGATTTCCCATTACAGGGCAACTTCTGCAGAGTAATTACACATGTATGCTTATAATTTGAATCTATTGCTATTAGAGCTGGAAGAGAGCTAATAGGTCATTCAGTCCATCTCCCTGTCCCATGCAGGTTGTTCCCTACTGTATCTTTTCTAATGTTTTACCACAGCTCTAAGGCGGCTATTCCACAATCTAATACAGCTCAAGTAAGGAAGTTATTCTTGATATCCAATCTAAATTTTTCCATTCTTAAAATTTGAACCAGTTGGTTGAGAGAAACTGTCCATAATGCTCTCAACCCAGACTGTAATAGCTCTTAAAATTTGGGTGTCAAGAGCAGAGCAAACTGAGTGACCTGGAGACATAGATATGCCTAGACAATAAAGGGTGAGGGGGTACATGGAAGAAAACATGAGAGACTTCAATAAGTTAAAAGTAACAGGGAAGTTGACAAAACAACAGAGTATTTAATGTAAAGATAGAATACATGGGAATTTAGAAAAAATGCATTGCTTAAATTGGACAAGTAAAGACTGGGAAGAATACCAATCAGCCAAAAAGAGTGCAGTTTATTATTTTGAGAATCATAAAAAAGAATAAATTCAAAGCAGACAAGAGACTACAAGAAGTCTTCAGTAATTGCTACTTCAGGGAACAGCAAGACCAGTGGAGCTTGAGGCAACTTCCATCACAGCACTTCCATCAATAGTTAGATGACCAGTGTCTCAATCAGTTTGGTTTATTTTGTCTAGGTTTTTAAGTTAACAAGCTGCCTGAAGTTATATGATTTTATTTCAAATGTAACCATAGAATAAGCAGCATCAGCACTCCCAGGACATTTTAAGGGGCAAGGTTATGGATTTGCTGAAGTAACCATCCAGGGTGCAGTTCTTGAGTTTAAACTGACAGAGCAAATTCTTATCAAAGCCTCCTTCTGAATATCTTCTCCTTGCATGCAAAGTGCAATGGATGTACTGAGTGGAAGATCACAAGGGGTCAGTGGGTACAGTTAAGTCTGAGTTAATTTGAAATTATGCAGTTAAGTTAAACTATAACTAACTTTAAAGTTTCTTCCCCATGACCTCCAATTAACTGACACTATATTTATATATTTATAACTGGAGTTTAATGGCATTTTTTCCTGAAGTTCAGTATTTTAATAGTTTTCCTGTATGTACAGTATATTTTCCTTGGTTTGTTCTTTAAATTGATTTCCCTATTTTTCAAAACAAATTTTTATTGTTTAATAGATTTTGTTGCCAGTGTATTTATATACATATATCTTTTGTTCCACTTTCCCTTGTGAACTGTTACCTACAGATTAAGACAGCCCCTTCTTTGCAGAAATAATCATTTGTGAATAGTGACTACCACTATCTCTCATCCTAATTAGAGACAGAGAATGTGAGAATCTCAGCCACCAAATTGTCATAACTATCAGCAAATATTGGCTATTTAATGGCAATGACCAAGTAACGTACTTACCCTTCATCCCTCACCTTGGATTATTAAACAAATATAAAAAGGGATCAAAGAATTTCTATTCTGCCCTCAACTGCTACAAAAGTTGTGTAAGCAAAGGTGAGAGACAGCCAGTGGATCTAGGGGAATAGTGGTTTTGGGGGATGCTCCACTCTGCAACCCCTCTTTTGGTGATCTATTAGGAACAAGACCTGCAAAATAGGTAGGGACAGTCATTCTCTGAAGCATGCTCCTTCACATTGTCCAAACCAGCAGGTGGAGAGATGCAAGTTACTGCACCTCCTGAAATCTAGACTGTGAAAATACTTACTTTGTAACAACAATTCTTCCTTTTACGGCCACTGCTACAACTACAGGGCTCCCGTGCTCGCAGTACTAAGCTCACATCTTCTGTTGCCAACACAGCTTGATATACTTGTTTCTGGAACTCTGTCAGGGAACAGTATACCATCTGCCAAGATAGAACCCCAAAATACAATTGTATGCAGCATACAGGAAAAAACAACAAAGACAACAATAAAAATATAAAACAAATGTTAAAATACTAAAATTATGGAAAATGGAAAATAAACTAGTAGATGTATAGGTAGTAACAGGGCATTTTTCTGCTCCCAATAAAGAACTGCAGGCTGATGTGCTGGAAAAAAAGTGTGAAAATATGGTCAACAGGTAACTGTGGTAATTTTAAGACTTTTTTTTTAACCAATTCTATTAGCAGTATTAAAATCAAACTACATCAATCGTTCTGTAGTTTTACTTCCACTACATTTTCTTTAGGCTTTTTTTTTTTTTTTTTTTGGTGAGTGAGTGAAGGGTTTAAAAGGCCTAGCCGTAAAGGTTCTTGCCCACTTAGTCAGAATGGTTTATTTGCCTTTTCCTTTCGCTCCCCTTTGGCACTAACTATTGTAGAACACTTCTACTGTCAGGGAAGATAAAACACAGTCAAATCTAAGGAAGCCATTGATACCGAGAGTCACAGGAATGAGAGAGAGAGAGAGAGAGAAGGGGGATCTGTACAGTGGTGTGTCCAAAACTCTTATCCCTCCTCCCAAAGACCATGGGTGGCATCTCCATGACATCTTTGGTCTTAACCAGCAGGAGACACAAAATCCCAAGATCACTTCTGAACCTAGGCCACCCACATAGCAACAGCACCATGCTGTGCTATAATAATACAACAGTAACTTGAACATATACTCACATTAACAAGAGAATGAAAAGAAATAAAACCTGCTAGATTTAGAAAAGCATCTGACTGACATTTGTGTTAATCTTTCCTTTAGAAGACACAGTTTGGATGACATTATTACAGGCTCTGTATGAAGGGCAAAACAAAATCTAGAAAAACAGCTGCAAGCTAATGTGTTTAATTTATTAAATGTATTTGTGCTTGCCGGATAGATAAATTCTCATATTCATCAAAACATCCTAGTCATGATGATTAAAAAAAAAAAAGTATGAATTCTTAAATTATGTTTATGCCAGCACTAAAGAAACGGCCACAATTGGACACAATTAACTTAATAAAAACCATTTTCAAGTATTCTATTAAAATGAATACCAAAAAAGGAGAGGATTGAGAGTAATTGTCTTTTAACAAGTCTTAATTTATATATTATCAGACTTCATATCCTGCATAGGCTTTCATGAGATCAAGGCTGCACACAGAAATGTGTAGCTGATATTAGAAACATAATTACAACTGTGAATATAAATTAAGCATCTGGACGTGTTAATGGTCAGTCAAATGCCCTGCTGGGCATTTCCATACTCAAATAACTCAATCCGAACACGCAATCATAGTAATTATGTGAACACATTAAGTGTGCTATTGCATGTGCATTTTTGCTCACAGCCCTGGACCTCTGAACTCTTGAAAAATCTGACCACAGAACCATGAACTACTAGATACACTAGACAAAACAACACTATGATATATATGATAGCAACCAAAATATGATATATTTATTAGTATTTTGTAAAAATAGTCACTCTTACTCTGTCTTCCTTCTTTGGCAACTGATCACTAATAAAAGCCTTAGTACGTCTCAGGAACCAGCCAGACATTTTTCTTGCTAGCTTCTGCATGGCCTTTCGACCTGTTGCTAGCTCTCTCTTAGTTGCGGTGTGCCTCTGGCCATGCTCCACTGGATCAGAAAATTCCTTCTTGAAATGTGTTCTGCTACCCAAAAGTCCGGGTATAGCCCTAAAAGAAATAAAACAGCAGCAGTCATTTGCTGAACACCAATGCAGAATATCCTCTTCCATTGACTAAAAGCATATGAAATATTCCTGACTAAAAGTGACAGATCTTAAATCAATCATCAGCAGTGAAATGAATAAATATGATTCCTGTATATAACAGAAATGTATCATTCTACTTCCAGACAGTCAGCCTTTCCATATACTCACTGTCAGCCTAAATTTAGGCACCTAAATCCCTATACAGGCTCTTCAGTAATAATGACTCAATCTTCAAAGGAGCTCAGTATCTGCAGGTCCAATGGATGCTGACACGTGTTATGAATCAGGTCAGTATTATTTAGGAGCTTATTTAAGAATTTAGGTGCCTGAAGTTTAGGCACCCAGGTTTGAAAATGTTGACTTTGATTCTTTCTGCTTTAATTCCATCCGGTCATACAGATATCAAATAGTTTAATGAATCTGAATCTAAAGAAAACAACAGTAATTATTAAACTCATTAGGCATTTCCTGAGCAATACTCCCTATTGGGTAATCCAGTCTAACACCATCTCAATGTTTTAGTTGCTTGGATTTTACATTAAGCTTTGCTACTAACTCATCCCCTTCCTGACATTTCAACTCAGCCCACAATTGCTCCGTATTTAAGATTTTTAAAATTGTAACTAATAAAAGATTACTTTGTTTGCACTTTCCATTCCCTCAGCTGGGGTCTTTTTTCCTCTTTGGGGCAGGGACTGTCCCTTCCTATATATTGCACAACACCTAGCACATTGTGGGCACTACTGAAATATGAATATACACCTCTACCCCGATAGAACGCTGTCCTCGGGAGCCAAAAAATCTTACCGCGTTATAGGTGAAATCGCGTTATATTGAATTTGCTTTGATCCGCCGGAGTGTGCAGCCCTGCCCCCCTGGAGCACTGCTTTACCGCGTTATATCCAAATTCGTGTTATATCGGGGTAGAGGTGTATAATTAATCATCATGAGGACACACAACACTCCTAGCTACATGAATGTGAGTTGTGCACTTTAGACAAAGCAGGGAGCAGAGTGCCTGAGACTAGGAGCTAAATAATTATTCTTATCCTGTTATGTGTGGGGTGGAGTGGGGGCACCACAGGCCAGGGAAAGAAAGAAAGGACCATTGGAAAGAAGTTAGGAGGGGTAACAGTAAGAGAAAAGAACTCCTCCCCTGCTTACCAGTACCCAAAAGAGTGAGGGGACAAGGAGAACCAGATACAAGCTATCCAAGACTAATGTAAAAGATGGGTTATTCCAACAGTTTGAGGGCAGTGCCCTGGTGAGAAACCACATGTACTTCATGTGACACAAGGCAAAAGTGTGATGGGATTCCCACTATGGCCCTGTTTCTGGACATTGCTGAGCTCCATACATCACCACCCTGTCACTTCTCTGGATAAGTCTCAATTAAAAAATTAACTTCTTACTTACCAGTCCACGACGCACCATAGTTCTTTCATGTTGTTCTGAAGAATGGTTCCAGTAAGACCTATACGAACATTGCATTTTAAAGCCTTCATAGTTTGGGTTATTTGAGCCTTTGGATTCTTGATTCTGTGTGCTTCATCTACAATGACAGCTGACCATTCTAGGCTGTGGATCAACAGGAAATACAGTTTCATGTAGCGGTCACTTGCATTATCTCACAAACATGTACTCAGAATTAGCTGTGCTTCCTCACAATTGTTGACTAAAAACAAGTGACTTAAAATAAATGCCATCAACTTTAAAAAAATTCACAGACAAGTCCAAATGTAACAAGTAACACTTAATATTATTGTAACTGAAAAAACATATCACCTATTTTTTCAGCTAACTTTATGCATTTTACATTCTGTTGTGTGTACTCAGTTTCACTATAGTCCATTTGTTCAGATCCTTCACACAGATAAATGCAAGAAAAATAATGTTTCAGGAGACAGAAACATTTTGGTTTTACCATCACATACAATGGGACTTAGGTGTAGAGATTTTTAAAATTCTCTTTAAAAAAAAAAAAATCCTCAGTTTTCAAGATGGCAGTGTCCCTTAAACTGTAGTTTAAGAGGAATCTGGCTCCCTTTCTTGAGCATTAAATCAACTGTGCAATGAAAAATAAGCATCAGAAAATTGTACTAATCAAGTTTTTTAAGCTTGCACGAGGAGAATTTGATTACGTTCATCCATCTGTTATTCACATGTAGTTTATTTTTACTTTGCTACAACTAGAAATTAGGCTGGTTCCAACCCGGCAGCTAGCTGAGCCACCCACTATAGCTGGGGCCGAACCAAACTCATGGCCATGAAAAATCACGTGTTGGACTGTGAAATCTGGTCTCCCCCTGTGAAATCTGGTATTTTGTTTGTTTTTACCCTATACTATACAGATTTCACGGGGGAGGCCAGCGTTTCTTAAACCGGGGGTCCTGACCCAAAAGGGTGTTGCAGGGGGGTCAAGGTTATTTTAGAGGGGGTTGCGGTATTGCCGCCCTTATTTCTGTGCTGTCTTCAGAACTGCGCGGTCAGAGAGTGTAAGCTGTTGGCCAGGCGCCCAGCTGCAGCAGTGCAGAAGTAAGGGTGGCAATACCATACCATTGAACCCTTACTTCTGTGCTGCTGCTGGCGGCGGCTCTGCCTTCAGAGCTGGGCTCCCGGCCGGCAGCCACTGCTTTCCAGCTGCCCAGCCCTGAAGGCAGCGGCGCTGCCAGCGGTAGTGCAGAAGTAAAGGTAGCAGTACCACAACCCCCCCTACAATAGCCTTGCAACTCTCCTCCCCCCCCTTTAACACACACACACACACACACACACACACACACACACACACACACACACACAAAATTCCTTTTTGGGTCAGGACCCCTACAATTATAACACCATGAAGTTTCAGATTTAAATAGCTGAAATCATGAAATTTATTATTTTTAAAATCCTATATCCATGAAATTTACCAAAATGGACCGTGAACTTGGTAAGGCCCTAACTACAGCATTGCTTTTATAGGCTACTGCCTTTCCTATGATTAGACTTATCTTTTAAAAAATTAATTTAGCATATTGACAAGACTTTGTGGCCACAAATATGAACTATTGCCAGTCACGCTATACTAATTCTGTGAAAGAGAAAGACTGACTGTCTCCAGGGCTATTAACCCAGCAGCTTTTAATACCACTAACTCCACTTTTTAAAGATTTTTTTAAAAGTGAATTTAACAATTATAAAAAGGTAGCAGATTGAGAATCCTGTTTACTGAAATCTTCCATTTCCCCCACATAACAGGTACAGCATGGGTAGCAGCAATAGGGAAAACATCCTTATCAGTGAGTCTGAAATATGACTGTAGGGATGACAGGATTGTTCATTTTCTTTGGTATCTCTACTGCCAATGATATCGGGGGGACTGGTTAAGGGGTTGGAGGGATGTGGACGGGAAAGCTGCATATCTAGCAGCAAGGGAATTATGGACAACTGTTACAAAAGGAATTTGAACATCAGCAGCCATTGCATGGTAACAACTTTTGGTCACTATCAGTCTGGAACACAATAAAACCCCATGACCTAAAGGTGAAATGATTCATACCACATTACTAATCCTGAGTCATCCAGCCCCCAGAGAGATTTATTTAAATTCAAATTTATAAACCAGGTAGAAGATTAGTTCTGAAATAATTATATTTTGAGCAATTTCAAAATACATTCACTTCAAGTTTGATGCTCCTTTAATACAATCAAGCAGCTGCAAGTAGGGGCAGGCATATTTTAAAGTATCACGTTTTTTCCCCTTGTTTTAAAAAAGCCCTATTTTAGATTAAATTTATTTTTAAGACTGAACCTTCATTCGGTACTACTGAAATACTCTGAATCAAGTAGCCCATGTCAGTCTCCTACATTTCAAAAATCTACTGTAAGAAAAGTCAGATCCTCTCAAGAGAGCATAAAAGAGATAAAACCATGGCTAGATGCAAAGTAGGAACAGGAACAAGCATATTTGAAAGTAACCAAGTAATTTCAACTAATCATTCCTTATGCTCACGCATGAAGAGATTTGAGTACAGGGATTACTTCTCCCTCTCACACAGATTCTCACATCTCTACTCCAAACCACAGTATTTTTAAACAAGACTAGGTTAACAGAGATAGCTATAGGGATCTCTTCAGCTATGATTCAATCTAAATTGTTATCAAGTCCTGAAGGTGAACCCAGCTGTTTAAACTACAAGACCATGTCAAGCTGTCAGCAAGTTTGTACTGTGAGTTCTCTAGTATTTAAACAGTCAATGCTGACTTGCTCGCTTGATTGTACTCAAGGTCATGAACTACAGCAGAGACAAATTGGAAAGCAGGAAGACCTCAAATTCTATAAAGTCCTTTGGGGTATTAAGAAACATAAATATTACAATATATCTCTTACTTAAAGTTTCCTGAATTGAGGGACCAACACAACCTGGCAAAAAGCACTGCACTGTGTCAACTATTTGCACTGTACACCAGAAGTTCATCTATTGTGAGGACTTGTTGGGGGGTGAGGGCGCTATGGAGAGTTCTATGCTAAACTGCATTGAAAGACAGCTAAATAAATAAATATTAAATAATTTTCTATCATTACTTTTCCATGTAGTCAACTGCTGTAGTTGCTCCAAAAATATTATATGATCATGAATGGGCAGTGAGGCTGTCTGTGGGATCACAGAAGAGAGGGTGGGTTGTCTATGAGACAATTAAAGCATGGTCCACTAACAGTGGATACTGACCTCTGTCATGCAACAGGGATATGTAACCTAGATGCATATTGTACTACTAGTGATGACCCGCAGCTTTGCCATTCAAGTTTATGGCAAGTATGGGGGTGGGAGAGTATGTGCACTGTGCTGGGAAATCTTGTGTTGATTTGTGCGAATGGCGAATGCTGCGGTGAGGAGCTATCTGTGTTTGGGGTTATTGTGTGTTCTGGGAGACTTGTGCTGAGTTGTGTCTAGGGGGTGTGCACTGGGAGACTGTTGAGCTGTATGGGTGGTGAATGACGGTTAGTTGAGTTAATTTGTGTGAGGGTATTATGTTTGGGTATTTTGTGTTGTGCAATTTGTAAAGTCAAAATGGCTGAGAACTTAAAAAAATACATTTTCCCCAAAGTTTGTGCCCAGAGCTGCTCCCTGTTGGGAGGCACCACCATCTTTTTGTTACCCCACACAGCTGTCACTCCCACCTCCTCTGATCAATTGTCATATTCTAACCACCACAGAACCTTTGGACTCCCAACATTCCACCTGGTTCTCACAGGGAATATGAGTGAGATTGGCGGAAATGTGTGTGTAGTACTGGGAGATTTTTGTTGATTTGCATGTGGGTTGTGTGGTGATGGGAGCTTTGTGCAGGTGGCAAGTGAGGGATATGTGCTGCGGTGGGGGCTGCGTGTGTTTGGGGTTACTCTATGGGCAGGGTTATGTTGGTGGTTTTGAAGAACTGCAGCAGTTGGACCCAGTAATTAACCATCTGGCCAGTCTCCCTCATACAACCAATAAAATTGTTGCAAGCTAATTAGGTGTAGATATTAACTCTGATATGGCAATGGCCTAGGACTCTTTGCCTGACTTTGGCTGTACACCACATGGGTGTAATTCATAGTCAAAATGGCTGAAAACTTAAAAACTGGACTGCAACAGACTGCAAATCATGCTGATGATTCAACCTTGTGATATTCTGAACAAAAAGAGTTCACAACCATGCTTGAAGCTGTTTCCATCACTTCACATTGATTCTATACAAATCTTATGTTTCAAAGTGACAATCCTGGAATCTTATTATATACATGAAAAAATGTGACTAGGACAGGGATTCTCAGGGTATCAAGCCTCTGCCATCCCATATATTTTAGTGGTCATTGTGGGGGGCAGAATGGGAGAAACAGAGACTAGTTTGCCTGACATTTCAACATTTAATACAGCTATCATTTCAATAAGTACCTTCTTGGGGGTTACCCTTTAGAAAGAGAGATTCTGTTTGGCAAGTTCACTGGATATAGATATACTGTATCTCTTCATTCCACCTCCCAGTAAGGAGTTAGATCAGGGGTAGGCAACCTATGGCACGCATGCCAAAAGTGGCACGCGAGCTGATTTTCAGTGGCACTCACACTGCCCAGGTCCTGGCCACTGGTCTGGGGGGCTCTGCATTTTAATTTAATTTTAAATGAAGCTTCTTAAACATTTTAAAAACCTTATTTACTTTACATACAACAATAGTTTAGTTATATATTATAGACTTATAGAAAGAGACCTTCTAAAAACATTAAAATGTATTACTGGCACGCGAAACCTTAAATTAGGAGTGAATAAATGAAGACTCGGCACACCACTTCTGAAAGGTTGCCGTCCCCTGAGTTAGATTCACAGGATTTAAATAGTTGTCAAAAAAAATTTAAAACCAAAACACAATAGACTGTTACAAAAACAGTGTTTGCACAAATGAAAGTTAGAAAATGTTACATTACCTGTTAAGTTCATCCAAACATAGGCGAAGCGTCTCATATGTTGTTAGAGCAACCTCATACTTTCCCTGCTTGATACGACTCAGTTCATTGTCCTTTCTACTGCCATGTAAAATAGCGACCCTGAAATAGCCCCAAGTGTCCAACTCATCCTTCCAGTTATAAAGCACAGAAAGAGGGGCCACTATTAGGAAAGTCTAAAAACAAACAGCTGTCATTATACTGCTGCAGAACCCATGTCAAAAACATTGTATCGAGAGCTGTTATGCAAAAGTCAAAATAATGAGCATTGTTTTAGTATTTAAAAGTTTGAATTTTATTTAATCATTTTCCATGAATGATATCTATTATTTGCTTAGAGTTATATGAACTGAATAGAGAAGAATCTGGAAAGAAGATTAGAGGACAAACTCATAAAAGTAAAACAATCTGAGTTTATTTACAGTGTGTTATCATCAGAGGAAACATATAGTAAAATGGTGTCCAGAAGGAGTACTCCTTCAAAACAATAATGGTAGTTACTCAAGTTATACTGTAAAGCTTAAAAAAAAAAAAATCTACTTCATATGGACAGTGAGAGTAAAACTGATGAAATGCAAGAAATGTAAAAAAATTATGACTGTAGACTGATGGAGAAAACACAAACCATCACTTTCTACTTCTATAGAATTTGCATCCACAGATCACAAAATGTTTTACAGATGGGAAAACAGAGGCACAGAGTGATTCAGTAACTTGTTCGATGTCAGGAAGTTAGTTAATGGCAGAGCAAAGAATAGAAAACAGATTTTTTGTCTTCCAAAAGACACCTGCAACTGAATTATATAATTAGTCCATTAACTATATTTGCTACAACTAGCCTCAAAAGGCCAATATTGATTCACATTTTATTTGTTTTATAAAATGTATTTTAGGTATTAGCGATATTAACCCTTGCCAGAAAATTGCAAAACACTAAAATTGTTCGTGGTAGATACAGTTAGCTGATTTCAACCTTTTTACAACATGTATTTTAGTTCTATGCATATATTCCAATACAGTAGATATTCTCTGGATTCAATTGTGAATTTTTGTTTAATAAAGTATTTCAAATTTACCTCTACTGTTTTGTATTTAGTAAGCGTTTGTATTAGTATGTTTACATGGCTTTCATAAAAAGAAACATATGACTGCTAATTGGTACATGCCATTGAATAGGACACAGGACTGGGAAACAGGACACTAGGTTCTATTCCTGGTTGACACACCTTGGAAAGTCACTTAACTTCTGTGCCTCAGTTTTCTCTCATCTGTACAATGGGAATAATACTAAATTAACCACATTTGAGAACTCGTTTAAAATGCACAGATAAAAAGCACTATATAAATATTAAGTATTATTAATAATACCAAAATCTTTTATAATCCTGGTCCCATTACAAATGCTCATTCAAAGAATTGTGGGACCAACTCATGGGCAAGATATTGAAAAGCTTCCATTTAGCACATTACTTTGGCTAAAGGAACTAATCAGAACTTTACGAATAAAAGTATGTATCTCAGAATCCTATTTCAAGCATCAATACTTATTACTTGTTTACACCACCCAAAAGAGAAATAAGGGTTACTTGCATATTGTATACCATTGACACTTTTGTCATCATTTTTTTCTCTCTTTCTTTTCAGGGAATTGAACCACAAAGGAAAGTTTCTTGAAATCCACCTTGTCTAAACTACTGCATACAATAGGTTTCCAAAAGACCGATTTTTAAGCAATATACAAATTCATTGTGGCAAAAATCATCAAATAAGAATTAAAGTAAGACTAAAAGAGGCAATTCAAAAGTAATTTTACTTAGTTGAACATCTCTTCAGCTATATCATGGACAGGTGTAACTTATAATGTTAGTTATGTGTCTTAGATGTTCTCTACTCCCTCAACTTATGAACTGTGAAACTGAAAATATTATCCAAATTCTACTCATTATGTTGGTTCCATACACATTGATACAAATAAAATATTAAAAGACACCTGCTACAGAATAATATATAAATTATCATTATAAATGCCATTACTTTAAAACAGTGGCAAACTTGCTGGTGCAGTCTTAAAACATGGGGCCCATTAAATCAACGATATTAAGTTGCAGCTGATTTAATCCTGAAAAGAAGATGGATCCACAAACCAACCATTAAAAATATGTAAGTGTTAAGAATTTAAATAAAAGGTTTAAAGGTTTAAGATGGTTCCTGCAACTCAATCACCTCAATCAAATGAAAATCACCTGGGTCTTTCAATGTAGGCATACGAAGGTGTGTCTTACATTTAAAATAAACTTTTAGATAATTTATCCATTTCCTAACATTATAACAGTTTATACACGAAATCATATAGCCTCACTTCTAAAATCATCATCTGTCTACCATTCAACATTTTATAGCTTATGGACACTTCACAGATACAATAATGTCATTTTGAGCCATCAAAACACCTATCAACTTGTAACAGTCATTATAAAGGGAGCCAATAGCTATCCCTACGTTTAGGTTGCCTAGCACTTTCTATTATAAAAGATCCTTCCCGTCTTTTTTGAGACACACTAAAACCTCCATCGTTTGTAGCAGGATTTTGAAATTCATCAGAGGGAAAGCCCTTAGGCTGGAGAAATACTTTTTCTTTGTCTCATGAAATTACACTCGGTTCTCCTGACATGAACCATTTTCCTTTTCTTGCTTCCATTGCTCATAGGTCTTAATTACATGATCACATGCAGTTTTCCATAGGACACTTGCCTAATTCAGTGCACAGAAAGGACACACATGGAAGAGTTAAGGTTACACTAGCATTTCCTAACTTTCGAGTGCTTGACTTTGCAACTTAAATAATGTTTTTTAACAGTTTCGGTATGCAATATACTATGTATTAAAGCATAATCAAATAACATTTAATTTTCCTTTCACGGACAATGGCTTCACTACCTACTTAGACCATTGGCTTCATCCTGCTGAATTTTCCTATTGAATTTTCACATTTTGGTACAGTTAAATACAGGGCTGGCTTTAGTAAGTGCGGGGCCCGATTCGAATACCCGGCGGCGGTCCGGGTCTTCGGCGGCGGGTCCTTCATTCGCTCCGGGTCTTCCGTGGCACTGAAGGACCCGCCGCCGAAATGCCGCTGAAGACCCGGAGCGAGTGAAGGACCCACCGCCGACGTGCCACCGAAGACCCAGACCGCCGCCGAGTGAGTAAAAAAATTAAAAAGGCGCCTATATTAGGTGCTCTTTTTTAGGGCGCGGGGCTCGATTCGGGGGAATTGGCCTAAAGCCGGCCCTGGTTAAATAAATGCTAGACCTACATACTGCATTGTCTCGGTTTTTAAAAAACCGGGAGGTTGACTTGCATTATCTAAAATCCATGAACATCTGTATTTCCACATGCAAACACCCCAAAACCTGGCATACGCAAACATATTTTTTGCAGTGCAAGTAAGCTTTTATAAAAAAAACACAGCATCAGCTTTTATGTTATAAAAAAAAAAGTCTCTAACAATTAAAATCTGTACCTTTTTGGGGATATATGTTGGTTCTTTTTTCATGGTCCTCAATAAAAACTCTGGCATATTGTTTTCAATATCTTCACGTGTTCCCTTTTTGCATAGTACTGCAGCCAGAAATGAAATGACCTAGAGAAAGAATGCAATTTACAGTGAATATGCAGAAAATGCAACAAAACATGAATATGTCCTTCAGACAGCAGACATTCAGGGCACGATCCTGGAAGTGCTAAGCATCCTCAGCTTTTGCTGACTTCATCCTTGAGATATGAGCTCAACTCTCCTACAGGGCTAGAATGTTTGCTAATGAGTGAAGAAAAAAAACAGTGCCCTGAAAAATACACAAGATGTAGTGCAGGAGAATAGGGAGAAATGATGGAAGGGGCATGCCTAGCAACTTTCCAAAGAAGTGAGGAAATAGGGTCCTTGAATGGGAAAACAGAAGCAGCACAGATGTGGTTAATCCACCTGAAACTTCAGTCCAAAGTTTCCTCTGGGGAAGGGTTTTAAAGTGATGGTTACCCAATCCTATTAATATGTATTTCTTATATATTTCATAGATAAGGCCAGAAGAGACCACTATTACCTGCTAGTCTGACCTCCTGTATACACAGGCCATAGGACTTTCCTGAATTAAACTAGAGCATGTCTTTTAGAAAAACATTCAATCTTGATTTAAAAATTGCCAGTGACAAAGAATCCATCACAACTTGATAAATTGTTCCAATGGTTAATTACCCTCAATGTTAAAAATGTGCACCTTATTTCCAGCCTACCTTTATCTAGCTTCAACTTACAGCCATTGGATCTTGTTATATCTTTCTCTGCTAGATTGAAGAGCCCAATATCAAATTTTGGGGCCCCATGTAGGTACTTATAGACTACAATCAAGTCACCCCTTAACCTTCTCTTTGTTAAACTGAATAGACTGACGCAAGGAGCTCAAATCACTATAAAGGCATGTTTTCAAATCTTTTAATCTAGCAGTTTTCAACCTTTTTTCATTCGCAGATCCTGAAAATTTTTTGAATGGAAGTGTGGACCTCTTTGGAAATGTTAGACATAGTCTGCGGTCCCCCAGGGGGCCATGGACCACAGGTTGAAAGCCACTGTTTATGCTAACAACCACCTTTCGCGGACCTCTTAGACAGACCACTGACCCCCCAGAGGTCCACAGACCACATATTAAGAAGCACTTTGATCATTCTTGTGGCTCTTCTCTCAGCCCTCTCCAATTTAGCATCAGCCTTCTTGAATTGTGAACATCTGAATTGGACATAGTATTCCAGTAGCAGTTGCACTAGTGCCAAATACAGCGGTAATATAACCTCCCTACTCCTACTTGATATTTCCTTGTTCATGCATCCAAGTATCATATTAATTCTTTGGGCCAGCATTGCACTGGCAGCTCACATTCAACTGATTATCCAAAATGGCCCCAAAGTCTTTTTCAGAGAGTCACTGCTTCCCAGGATACAGTCCTTGCTCCTCCAATTCTGAGGCTAGCACCAGGATTAGCTTTCTCCATTGGATTCAGGGGCTGAACTACAGCAAGGTCACCTTGTTAAGCCCCAATTGCAACGCACTCTCTGCTGACTTCCGCTTATCTGTTGAAATGTGGGTGGCTTGGGGCAATATGGGTATATACACTGCAACATTCTATAGTAGGTTAGAGGCCCACAGTCTGAGCTATTTTGGGCTACACTTCAGTTGTCATCCAGAAGAAACAGAAGGCCAAAAGCACAGCTATTGGTAGACACAGTTTGGCCACAAGTCACATTTTTAAAAATCACCCAGGTATGATGTCCCAGGAACTGTGCAGCAGCAAGAAGCAGCTGTTCTGCCACTGCGGTGCTCATCTTTTAGAAGTTCGGCAGTTCCTCTATTGCTCACAGCAGCAGCCAGCTCCCGTCCCTTTCCTCTGCAGCTGCCTCACAGCTGTTCATAGCAGGACAGAGCTAAAGCTGTCAGCACCACAGAGAAGGAGGTAGCCAACAGGGAATGGTGGAGGGAGAGACAGCAAGGAATGCTGAGCTGCCAGGAAAAAAACCTGCAAAGGATAGAGGTGGGTGGGGCATAAGAGGGGGAAGCCATCATGTGGGGCAGGAGAATGGAAAGCTACCATAGGGGCCAGAGGAGGCAATAAAATTTTAGGCACAATTCTTCATATAAACTGAGGGGGCAAGGTGGTTCTGGAAGTTTGTACGCATATCAGTGAATTTTAATAATAGGTTTTTGGTGGTGATGGTGGTGGGAAATTTTTTTTTAACCCTTTCAAGCATAAACTGAAATTCCCCAGAAAGTAATAACTTCTAGTGGTTTCCAGACTCTTCATTTATTTGAAGAATTATCCCCATCAAACTTTCACATTTTGGTAACTGTGGCAAAGGCCTGAAAAAGGACAATCTGCCAGAGAAATCTGTTGCTCCTTCAACTGAAGCAGGAAGCAAACTGGAGAACAGGCAGCATAAGGAGGGGGAACTGAAGCCAAAAACATTTCACTTTTCTCTGAGACACCTCATAACAGATAGATAGGGGAGACAGAACCTCCAGAAACAATATAGTTTGAACTCTGTAAAATAAACATACATAAATTATTTTGTAAATCCATCCTGCTACAACAGACACAGCCATTTCTCAGAATGTCCTCTAATAACTATTTTACAGCACAACTACTTAGGTGGTCACAAGTTTAAGGAAATAATTAGGAAAAAAAGAAAGACTTCAAACTTTATTCACTCTCAGGCCTTTAACTTTGTTTTTAGCCTCTTTTCAAGGTGTGCTGGAAAAGGAATAGAGATCTTGCTACCACTCACCATGATCCATCAGCACCACCCCTGCTTCCATAAAGAAAATCGGTAAATAAAATTATTTCTTCATATCTGGGGACACCACTAAGAAGTTAAAACTAGGGATGTCGATTAATCGCAGTTAAATCACGCGATTAACTAAAAAAAATTAATCGCTATTAATCGCAGTTTTAATCACACTGCTAAACAATAGAATACCAATTGAAATTTATTAAATATGTTCAATGTTTTTCTACATTTTCAAATATATGGATTTCAATTACAATACAGAATACAAAGTGTACAGTGCTCACGTTACATTATTTTTGTTTACAAATATTTGCACTGTAAAAATGATAAAAGAAATAGTATTTTTCAATTCACCTCATACAAGTACTGTAGTGCAATCTCTATCGTGAAAGTGCAATTTACAAATGTAGATTTTTTTTTTGTTACATAACTGCACTTAAAAACAAAACAATGTAACTTTAGAGCCTACAAGTCCACTCAGTCCTACTTCTTGTTCAGCCAATCGCTAAGACAAACAAGTTTGTTTACATTTATGAGAGATAATGCTGCAAGCTTCTTATTTACAATGTCACCTGAAAGCGAGAACAGGCGTTCACATGGCACTTTTGTAGCCAGCATTGCAAGGTATTTACATGCCAGATATGCTAAATATTCATATGCCTCTTCATGCTTCGGCCACCATTCCAGAGGACATGCTTCCATGCTGATGGTGCTCGTTAAAAAATAATGCGCTAATTAAATTTGTGATGGAACTCCTTGGTGGAAAAACAGTATGTCTCCTGCTCTGTTTTACCCATATTCTGCCATATATTTCATATTATAGCAGTATCGCATGATGACCCAGCACATGTCCATTTTAAGAACACTTTCACTGCAGATTTGACAAAACACAAAGAAGGTACCGATTTGAGATTTCTAAAGATAGCTACAGCACTCCACCCAAGGTTTAAGAATCTGAAGTGCCTTCCAAAATTTGAGAGGGACAAAGTGTGAAGCATGCTTTCAGAAGTCTTAAAAGAGCAACACACTGATCCGGAAGCTACAGAACCCAAATCACCAAAAAAAGAAAATCAACCTTCTGCTGGCGGCATCTGACTCAGGGGATGAAAATGAATGTGCATCAGGCCACAGGTTTGGATCGTTATCGAGCAGAACCTGTCATCAGCATGGACGCATGTCCTCTGGAATGGTGGTTGAAGCATGAAAGGACATATGAATGTTTAGCACATCTGGCACGTAAATACCTTGCAACGCCAGCTACAACAGTGCCATGAGAACGCTTGTTCTCACTTTCAGGTGACACTGTAAACAAGAAGCGGGCAGCATTATCACCTGCAAATGTAAACAAACTTATAGACTTATTGTTTTATTTTTGAGTGCATTTTTTTTTTTGTACATAATTCTACATTTGTAAGTTCAACTTTCATGATAAAGAGATTACACTACAGTACTTGTATGAGGTGAATTGAAAAATACTATTTCTTTTGTTTTTTACAGTGCAAATATTTGTAGTAAAAATAAATATAAAAATGAGCACTGTACACTTGTATTCTGTGTTGTAACTGAAATCAGTATATTTGAAAACATAGAAAACATTCAAAAATATTTAAATAATATTCTATTATTGTTTAACAGCACGATTAATCGCGATTGATTTTTTTAATCCCTTGACAGCCCTAGTTAAAACAATGTTATTTTAACATTAAATGGACAAATGTAAGGAAATTTAAAATTAAGGCTGCACTTTGCCCATAACCCACCCCACTGTGACTATGGTGTAACAGAAGGTAATTCTACATGCCACATAGATTAAGGAAATGGCTGCCTGAAATATGAATTTCTTTAATTTACATCAGACACACCAGCCCCCATGTAGAATAATATGTTTGGGGAGGGGGAAGGAGGAGTTTAAACAGTAGTTCAGAAATTCAGGATTTCATCAGGTTTAAACATTACACTCCTAAAACCAAATCCTGCAAACTGCTGCACATGGGCAGACCTCTATACCCATGGAGTCCCATTGACTTCAACAGGGGTCTGCCCAGAGCCCCATTGATTTCTGTGAAGATCTACATAAGAGCAGAGGTTCACCTATTCAGAATAGTTTGCAGGACTGGAGCTTTAATATACTAATTTAACCTCATACAGTGCCTCCTTCATGTTCTTGTGGTATTAAAAACCAACAGTATTTTCCTAGGGTTAATAAAATACTCCATATCCAAACTCTGACTTTGAAAATAAAACTGAGCCCAACTGATTTAAACGAAATTTAGTTGAGAAATGAATTGTCATCTTGAGAATTTGTATGCAATGTTACAACTGAAAATGAGATTTTAGGCTGAATTACACACTTTTTGAAAAGGGACGTTTTAAAAATGTCAGGAGTTTCTAAGCTATAGCAGCACCGTGGGGGGTTGCTAAAATAAACTGTATTGAATAGAAGTTTAACAAATCATTTACAAAAACCAAGTTATCCATTATGGAACAAACTTTAAATTAAGCCTCAAAGAAATCCCAAAAGAATAAAATCTGCAATCTAATCTCTGAATCGGTCATAGGATAGAATGGTATTTCATCCCCAAAATGACAAACCAAATTATCATTCTGGGAAAGGCATCTTCCCCATGCTGACACGGAAACATTTACAGGCTGTTTCCTTACACACTGTCAGTTAGCAATATACACTATATACCAGGGTCTGGGAAACAGTGCAATAACATTTCCCACTGGCCAATGTGAAGGGGCAAGGGGAAAACAGACTTGGTTATAACATTTGCACTAGTGTTTTTGAACATTTCCTCATTATAATAAAAAAAAAGTCTTCAGAAGTAGGGGGGGGGGGGGAATCTCACTCACTGTGTGCACTAGTATATCCTAAAGGCATCCCAGCCATCTTCCAGAATCACACTGTAATTTGAGCCAGAGATGGGAAGCTCAGCATGTAAACAAGCATGAGGAGGAGGAGATTTTTACAGCATTGTAAATTAGGTTTTCTGATATGTGTTAAGTGGTTAATTAAAGTAACTGAATATACATAATACTTGTTTCAACACAGCAATGTTTTCTACACAAATAAGTGAGACTCCTGCCTCTTTTGTACTTTCATATGCACCTCACTGCCCATTCCTGCAGCTCGAAGTGCAGAGTATAAAGACTGACTTTTTGGGGGGGGGGGGGGGGGGGGAGAGAGAATATATAAGATACTCTTTTAATGATGCATTCTTCTTCAAAGTTGGGGTAGCAATTAGAAAGTTTATCACACTGCAATTCCAAATAACTACATAAAATCAGTTGTTGCAACATGCTGAGCTTGTTTGTCTCCCATCTATCCCTTCATAATAATTAATTATTCCATACAGTTATACGGCAGAGGAAGCACGCCACTCACTATCACCCAGCATCATCTATGTGCGCCATTCTTGCGGGCAAACTGCTGGATATTCAAACTTCTAGGAATCCTGCTCTCTAAAATAGTCTATGCCTTGTATATCTGAAGGGATAGTCTTGCAATTTATATGCAGAGGTAAAATTTTAAATTCAGCTTGATGAAAGTACTTTTCATTATAATTATCAATGACATTGCACTTTTAGAATTGGTTTTTCATAGTTTAGATGGTATTATAGAGCATTAGCTAAACAGGTTGATCAAGATTAAGAAAAAAGTTTAAGAACTTTTTAGTTTATATTTTAAAAGCAAACACAATAAATATAGTGAACATGTGTTATTACTTGTATTCCTTCTCCTCTGAGAGGGATTTGTAGAGTGAGCAGAATGTCAAAGAATGTTACCAACATAACGTTGACACAAGTCAACTGAAATATGATACATTGCAGAAACCCAAAATGGTTATTTAAATATTAGTGGTATGGAAATTGACTGCCAAATATCTTTGGATACATGTTTTTTATTAGATTGTATGAGATACTTGCAGTTTAGAATACAAAAATACTTCTACATCTACTGTATTTGAGTGCATCTGATTAGTTTCCTTTGCTCTCAACCACATGCTAACAAGAAACCTAGGCATGATCAGGTGCAGCATTATGCAAACAGAAGCAGTTCAGTTTTATTCAAACTGAGACTGTTACAGCACCAAGAGGAAGACACACATTGTGTGGTACACCTATAAATACTCCCCCAAGAGAGACACTTTGCCAAATGTACACTTAGTTTATTCTCCCTTTTTAAAGAGAAAAGGTTTATTATGTTACTCACTTTAGCATTGTCTCACACTAAGGAAAATTCTCAGTTAATATTCCCAGAAGTGGGGATGGGGAGAATTTTACACTGGATCAGTGGGGCTCCGGCAGGAATTAGACAATGGGGGAGTCGGCAGGGGGAGAGAAGAGGGCATTATATATTAGATACTTTAGGATTCAACCCACTAACTAAATAAATAAAAGAAGTGGAGGGGTAAGAACCTCCTTCCAGATTAAAAATGTCCTAATTTCAACTGAATCATTGAACCCTGACGATCCAAAACAGATAAGAAAAAATGCTACTATACTGTGTATCTTTTGCATTAACATTAGCTGTCATCTTTACTTATAAGAATAGTAGCCTAAATCACTTACATTTCTGACTGGGAGACAACAATGGAATGAAACATCTTGGATCTTACAAAATTAATCTGGCTAGGGTCTCCAAAGTTTGGAGTATACTTGAAGTACTTTTCAAGAGCAGCACAAAACTGTTACTGTCTAGACAATGAATGAAAAACAACTTTAGCCACTCTGTGTATGTCAAAAGTGTATAGCCCCATTTATAACCATTGTTATGATGCACAGAGAGTAATTCTCCAAATACCTAAAATATAAAGACAAACATTGGGACTCTAGCTAGATATACAATTATAACTTCATAAATAGGTGCCTTTTAAAAATCATTAACCCTTATATGTAATCTATTTCATAAAGCATAGTCATATCTGACCCAATAGTTTAAGGTGACAAAATACCTGTATTGTTTTTCCAAGTCCCATGTCATCTCCAAGAATACATCCTCTTTTACGAGCATAGTGTCCATAGAGAAACTGAACCCCATCCCTTTGATAATCACGCAGATACCTATTAATTGTGTAAGGGATACAGTCCCCATCTACAGATAGCTCAAAAGCAACTGCAGGAGATGGAAGCCTTTGGTCGGGGAAATAAGGCTTTTCCAAATCTTCATCATCAAATATTAAGCTATTCCGGGGATCTTTACCAGCTCTGGCTTTACAGAGTTTTGTTATTATGATGTTCTTTTCTTCAGACCCCAAAAATGATACAATTGCAAATGATTTCCCATTCTTGTCTGTTTCAACTGACTTTATTGTGGCTTCACACAGTTTCCCACTTTCAGGAGATGGGGCAAGACACTTCTCTCCAGCATGCCACCTGTCTAAAAACAAAAACACACAAAAAAAGATGATGTTGCAAACTATGTGAAAAAAGTGCTACGCTTGTTATGCTTTTGTTAACACTGTTCAAAGTATTTTATTAACACTGTTCTGAGAAAATACATATAAATAAGGCCCTTCATTTTTGGTTTTTATTTATATAAGTTTCCTGGGAATTTATCTGGTTTTCTCTTAAAATTTTACAAATGCGAGAAAATCTGGAAAAACCAAAAACAAAGGGCAGCGAGTGCTGGGGAGGGATGGCCAGTACTCATGGGGATGGAACTCACCATGTAGCACTTGAGGAAACCTTCCACACCCTACAGCAGTCAGGAGGTTTTGGCTGCCAGGACCTTGCTCCCTACCCTCTCTTTCTGTGCCCCTGACACAGAGGCAGCCAACGGGGGTGCTGAAGAGGTGATCAGCAGAGGAGCAAAAGGCTGCAATCCGTGAATACTGGCATCCTGATCCCACCGGCCCTTCAGCATGGCCCCCTCTGCTTCCCTTGCGCAGACTCTGTTTGGCAGGGGAAGTGGATGGAGCTCTGTGCCCTGGGGCCGGCTGCTACAGCTGCACGGTGGGGGAGCAAGGAGGGCAGGAAGTCTGGCCCCAACAGCCAAGACCTCTGGCACAGAGTCCCCCCTGCTTCCGATGGCGGACACTGTCCCCTCCTGATCCAAGCCCTTCAACGTGGCCCCATCCACTCTCACACTGAAGGAGAGGGCTCTGTTTGGCAGGAGCCAGTACTCACAGGGTGCAGCATTCCGCTCCCTGCGGGCCTGTCACTGCAGTGGTCAGGCAGTCTCAGTTGCTTGGAGCCAGCTCCCTGCCCATCTCACTCCCCCAGAGCACAGAGGAAGCAGAATGGTGCCATGCTGAAGGACCAGATCAGTCGAGCAGAAGGCTGCACCACATGAGTACTGACACCCTTGCCAAAGAAAGCACCCTCCTGACCCCGCCAGGGGTTCAGTGCAGCCTCGGCCACTTGCCCTGTGACAAATTCCCAAGTCCCAAAAAAGCCAAAATTCAGTTGAGACCCCCACACACCCCTGTAATATCCTATATACTGGCTTTTTTCAAAAACCTGGGAAATTTTCACGGGGAAGAAAAAAAGAATCAGTAAATACCAATAACAAAGGGACTTACATATAACATAAGGTAGGAGGTTAGGATGAAAGTCACACTAGAATTACCGTATATACTCGTTCATTAGCCCGTTCGTTTATAAGCCGACCCTCCAAGATGGATAAGTAAAATTAGCAAAAACCGTATGACCCTTTCATAAGCCGACCATATATTTCAGGGGTTGGAAGACAGAATACTTCCGACAGTGGCCAAGGCTTCCAAGGGAATGAACAGAACAGGGTAATTTTGAGTGATCTATCCCCTGTCATCCAGTCCCAGTTTCTGGCAGTTGGAGGTTTAGGGACACCTGGCACACAGCTTGCATCTCTGGACTCCTTGGCTAACAGCCATTGATGGATCTATCCCCCACGAACTTATCAAATACTTTTTTGAACCCAGTTATACTTTTGGCCTTCACAACATCACCTGGCAATGAGTTCCATAGGTTGACTGTGTGATGTGTGAAGTATTTCCTCAGGTTTGTTTTAAACCTGCTGCCTAATAATTTAAATCGGTTGATCCCTAGTTCTTGTGTTATGCAAAGAGGTAAATAACACTTCCTTATTAACTTTCTCCATACTATTCACAACTTTATAGACCTCTAGCATATCCCCCTTTAGCTGTCTCTTTTCTAAGATCAATAGTCCCGGTCTTTTTTAGTCTCTCCTTACATGGAAGCTGTTCCATACCCCTAATCATTTTGTTGCCCTCCTCTGTAACTTCTTCCATTCTAATTATGGCTGTCAAACAATTAAAAAAATTGTGATTAATCACGAGATTAAAAAAATAATCACAATTAATCACTGTTTTAATTGCATTGTTAAATAGAATACCATTTAAATATTTCTACATTTTCAAATATATTGATTTCAATTACAACAGAATACAAAGTGTACAGTGCTCACTTATTTTTTATTACAAATATTTGCACTGTAAAAATGATAAACAAAAGAAATATTTTTCAATTCACCTCATAAAAGTACTGTAGTGCAATCTCTTTATTGTGAAAGTGATACCTCCAAATGTAGATTTGTTACATAACTTCACTTAAAAACAAAACAATGTAAAATTTTAGAGCGTACAAGTCCACTCAGTCCTACTTCTTGTTCAGCCAATCACAAGAGTGTTATAAGCAAGACACGAGAAATAATTCTTCCACTCTACTCCGCACTGATAAGGCCTCAATTGGAGTAATGTGTCAAGTTCTGGGTGCCACATTTCAGGAATGATGTGGACAAATTGGAGAAAGTCCAGAGAAGAGCAACAAAAATTATTAAAGGTCTAGAAAACATGACCTATTAGGCCTGGTCTACACTAGGCTTTTATGTCGACTTTAGCGCCGTTATATCGAATTAACCCTGCACCCGTCCACACCAGGAAGCCATTTAGTTCGACATAAAGCTCTCTTTAAATCGATTTCTGTAATCCTCCCCAACGAGAGGATTAGCGCTAAATTCGACATGGCCATATCGAATTAGGCTAGGTGTGGATGGAAATCGACGGTAATAGCTCCGGGAGCTATCCCACAGTGCACCACTCTGTTGACGCTCTGGACAGCAGTCCGAGCTCGGATGCTCTGACCAGCCACACCCCCGGGAAAATTTGAATTCATTTTCATTTTCCTGTCTGGGCAGTTTGAATCTCAGTTCCTCTTTGGACATCGAGGGGAGCTCAGCAGCAGTGGCAACTATGCAGAGCTCTCCAGCAGAGATGGCCGTGCAATCTAATAGAAAGAGGGCCCCAGCATGGACTGATCGGGAAGTCTTGGATCTCATCGCAGTGTGGGGCGATGAGTCCGTGCTTTCAGAGCTGCGCTCCAAAAGAAGGAATGCTAAGATCTACGAGAAGATCTCCAAAGCCATGGCAGAGAGAGGCTACAGCCGGGATGCAACGCAGTGCCGCGTGAAAATCAAGGAGCTGAGACAAGGCTACCAAAAAACCAAAGAGGCTAACGGACGCTCCGGATCCCAGCCCCACACATCCCGTTTCTACGAGGCACTGCATTCCATCCTGGGAGCGGCCGCCACCACTACCCCACCCCTGACCGTGGACTCCGAGGATGGGATCATGTCCGCGGCCGGTTCCTCGTCGGACATGACAGCGGACGGGGAAGATGAAGAAGGAGATGAGGAGGACGAGGCAGTCGACAGCGCTGGCACCGCTGATTTCCCCGACAGCCAGGAGCTCTTCATCACCCTTACCGAGATCCCGTACCAACCGTCCCCATCCCTTACCCCGGACACAGAATCAGGGGAAGGATCAAGCAGTAAGTGCTGTAAACATGTAAACATTTATTTAAAACAGAACGGTAATATTTATACTATTAACAATGTACATTTATAAAAGTTCTGTAAACTAGTAAAAAAATAATCAGGTACAAAACAGGAATATTTACAAAGGTAACAAATGGGTTTTCATGATTTCTCTGTCTTGGCCTCTTCTCAATTTAGTCCCAAGTGTTTTAAAAAATGTTCACAATGTCCGTTACTCCATGATTCCCAGGCCCAAGACGCTCCACTCCATAGTCCCAGTGCACCTACGCGAAAATCCGGTCAATGTGGCCGGGGATCGACGAGAAATCCTCGTAGGAGAACTCCTCGTAGGTCTCGTGGAGGTAGAGCTCAAGCCTGTTGATCAGGTTCCGGGGTAGGGCGATCTTAGTGGGCCCTCCGTGGTAGCAGACATGCCCCCTCCATGCCACAATCAAGTACTCCGGGATCATGGCCCGACATAGCATGGCGGCATACGGCCCCGGTTTCTGCATGCTTTCCCGCAGCATGCGTTCTCTCTGGGTGTCCGGGATCCTCAGGAGGGTGATGTCGCTCATGACGCCCTGCTTTGAATTAGGGAGGGGAATGTTAGTATTGGGACTGCTTTACAGCCACGCGGTGGAGGGAGAGGGGCAGCATACAGGGATCTTTCCCTGGGACAGCCGCGAGGGGGTGGGACAGGGGCAGAGTTGATGCTGTCCTGATTGCTGGCAGCAGAGACTGGCATTGCTTTCAATGTGAAAGGAGGCCAGTGCTACTGCTGGAGTTTTAAGCAGCCACAAGTCTGCGGCTTACCATTATTGCCCGCTCCAGAAGTTCAGGTCTCCAGCCACAGTTCTCTGAACAGTCCAAGACCTCCGCAAGTCCACAGGCACTGAAGGCGACGGCCGAAAATTCGACCTTGTCCTGAGTGCGCATGTGAGAGGTGCAGTGCATGGTCTTGTTCACAGAGAAAGACTAGGTTCTTTGTATACAATTTCATTTATCTGTCTCAGGAATTCACTCCCTTTTCACAATTCACACAGACACATCTGCGACTGTCTCCCAACCCAGCCTCTCAGCACACTCCCAGAGGCTAGCGCAGATTAGGCGGAGGAAGAAGAAGACGCGTGAAGACATGTTCTCAGAACTAATGGACTGCTCCCGAGCCCAGGCAGCCCAGCAGACACAGTGGAGGGAGAACTTGTCACAAATGCACCGAGCAGTCATGGAACGGGAGGAGAGGTGGCGTCAGGAGGACCAACAGGCTACTGAAAAGCTGCTTGGACTAATGAGGGAGCAAACGGACACGCTCCGGCGCCTTGTGGATGTTCTGCAAGACCGGAGGCAGGAGGACAGAGCCCCGCTGCAGTCTATCTGTAACCGCCCTCACCCGCCACCAAGTCCCACACCACCCTCACCCAAACTCCAAAGAAGGAGGGGCGGCAAGGGCCGTTAAAACTTTCAGTCAACCCCTGCAGACTGCTCTAGCACTAGAAGGCTGACATTCCCCAAAATTTCATAAGTCCTTTCCCACCCACCTCACAGAAGCCCCCGTCCAAGTTTCACACCCCACGTTTCATGTCTGGTTCGCAATAAAATGTTTGTTTCTCTCCATTACTGTTTCAGTCAGGTTCTTTTGAGGGAGAGTCTGTCTGGAGGGGGGGAAGGGGCTTGGTAATTGGGCAGGACAGTGACCTTTAGCAGGGTACAGAGGCGGTGTCAGGTCCAGCATCAGGACACATACACAGTGCAGTCACTGGTTACCCTGGTCAGTCTGGGAGGTGTTTTTCATGTTCTCCATTGAAATAACCAGTCCACCAGTGCGGAGCCTGGCATTCCGGGAGTTTAGAAGCATCATTTGCATCAGAACACTGAACCCGCCCCCCGCCACAGTCTGCGTCCCCGGTTTAAAATATTCCCGCGAAAACAGCAATACAGACAACGCTGTTCATTAACAAAATCGAAATGATTTTATTTTTTGGGAAGGGGAAGGGGGTGAAGGGGGTATGTAACTGGAGAGGATAGTCAAAATGAACTGGGCAAAGAAACGGGGGCAGGTTCAGCTTCTCTGTCCACAAACTGAAAAGTCACTGGTTGCCCTGCTCACTCAGGAACCTAGCTTTCAAAGCCTCCCGGATGCACAGGGCGTCCCGCTGGGATCTTCTAATGGCCCGGCTGTCTGGCTGGACGTAATCAGCAGCCAGGCTATTTGCCTCTAGCTCCCACCCCGCCATAAAGGTCTCCCCCTTGCTCTCACATAGATTGTGGAGCACACAGCAAGCTGCAATAACGATGGGGATATTGGTTTCACTGAGATCACAGCGAGTGAGTAAGCTTCTCCATCTCCCTTTGAGACGGCCAAAAGCACACTCCACCACCATTCTGCACTTGCTGAGACGGTAGTTGAACAGTTCTTTTTCTGTGTCCAGGGCGCCAGTATAGGGCTTCATGAGCCAGGGCATTAGCGGGTAGGCTGGGTCCCCGAGGATGACTGTAGGCATCTCCACATCCCCAAGAGTTATTTTGTGGTCTGGGAAGTAAATACCTTCCTGCAGCCGTCTAAACAGACCAGAGTTCCTGAACACACGAGCGTCATGAACCTTGCCCGGCCATCCGACGTAGATGTTTGTAAACCGTCCCCGATGGTCCACCAGTGCTTGCAGCACCATTGAAAAGTAGCCCTTTCTATTGATGTACTGGCTGGCCTGGTGGTCCGGTCCCAGGATAGGGATGTGAGTCCCATCGATAGCCCCTCCGCAGTTTGGAAATCCCATCGCGGCAAAGCCATCTATGATGACCTGCGCGTTTCCCAGGGTCACAACCTTTGGGAGCAGTACCTTCACGATTGCCTTGGCTACTTGCATGACAACAACCCCCACGGTAGATTTGCCCACACCAAAGTGGTTCGCGACTGACCGGTAGCTGTCCGGCGTTGCAAGCTTCCAGAGGGCTATGGCCACTCGCTTCTGGACAGTGAGGGCTGCTCGCATGCGGGTGTCCTTGCGCTTCAGGGCAGGGGACAGCAACTCACAAAGTTCGAGGAAAGTCCCCTTCCGCATGCGAAAGTTTCGCAGCCACTGGGATTCATCCCAGACCTGAAGCACTATACGGTCCCACCAGTCCGTGCTTGTTTCCCGGGCCCAGAATCGCCGTTCAACAAAATCCACATGCCCCATTGCCACCGTGATGTCCTGGGCGCTGGGGCTCGTGGTTTCTGACAGCTCTGTGCCACTCTCCGACTTCAGGCTCTCACGGCGGTGCCGTAGCCTCCTCGCCCGATTTCTCTGCATCTGCCTCAGGGAAAGGTGTATGATAAGCTGCGAGGTGTTGAGAACGGCCACAAGTGCAGCGATGGTCGCAGCGTGATCCATGATCGCAGTGCTGTGGCGTCCGCGCTGTCACTGACCAGAAAAGTGCGCGAACTGATTTCCCGCCAGCGCTTTCATGGAGGGAGGGAGGGCGTTAGTGACGGACGGATGACGACAAATTTTTTTTACCCAGAAGGCATTGGCGGCTCGACCCAGAATTCCGATGGGCAGCGGGGACTGCGGGAACTGTGGGATAGCTGCCCACAGTGCACCGCTTCCAATATCGACGCTCGCCCCGTTAGTGTGGACTCACAAAGTCGAATTACTGTCCTTAGTGTGTCCTTAGTGTGGACACACACGTTCGACTTTGCAATATCGATTCCACATATTCGATTTAAGTAAAATCGAATTACCCTCGTAGTGTAGACATACCCTTAGGAAAGATTGAAAAAAAAAATGGGTTTGTTTAGTCTGGAGAAGAGATGACTGAGGGGGGACATAACAGTTTTCAAGTACATAATAACATATGGAGATATACCTATCTCATAGAACTGGAAGGGACCCCAAAAGGTCATCGAGTCCAGCCCCCTGCCTTCACTAGCAAGACCAATTACTGATTTTGCCCCAGAACCCTCAAGGATTGAACTCACAACCCTGGGTTTAGCAGGCCAATGCTCAAACCACTGAGCTATTCCTCCCCCCACAATAAAATATTGTTAGAAGGAGGAAGGAGAAAAATTGTTCTCATTAACCTCTGCGGATAGGACATGAAGCAATGGGCTTAAATTGCAGCAAGGAAGGTTTAGGTTGGACATCAGGAAAAGTTTCCTGTCAGGGTAGTTAAGCCCTGTAACAAATTTCCTAGGGAGGTTGTAGAATCTCCGTCATTGGAGGTTATTAAGAACAGGTCAGACAAACACTTGTCAGGAATGGTCTATTAGGTAGTCTTGCCTTGAGTTCAGGGGACTGGACTTGACCTCTCGAGGTCCCTTCCAGTTCTACATTTCTATGATTCTATGATGATTCCAAGATCTCTTTCTTGAGTGGTAACAGCTAATTTAGACCCCATCGTTCTGTATGTACAGCTAGGATTATTTTTTCCAATGCGCATTACTTTGCACTTATCAATACTGAATTTCTTGGTTCAAAGCAAAAACCTGTTTTGTTGTAAAAAAAGATTTTCCTAAATGGCTGTGATGCCAAAGGAAATCCATTATGTACAAAATGTGTTGAAACGTGGTACAAATTTTGATCATCCTCCAAACAAAAAGGCTCTTCTCCCATCTCCACCTCCTTGCTGCTGCTCTGAATCCAAAATGCATGTAAGCTTATATGTGCCTAATGTGATGGGATTCCACACGTCACAAGTCCCTAGGCGTAATAGTGCCCAGCAGCCATACATGACTTTTTTTAAAGCACAAATCTGCACAGTATTACAAAACTGCAGCAGAAGCCATGAGAAACACTATCATGGTCAAGAGCATAAGCAAATTACTGAGTCCTGCACAACTTAGCTTATATTGCTGCACAATATTGTGCCTCTGGTGCTCACAGTTCTCCAAAACAGTAGCAGTGAAATTAAGACTGATTAGTTTCATTGCTACTATGAGGATGTAGACAACAATGTTAAATTTCTCTCTACTACTGCTATAAGCAGCAACAGAGACAGGCACCTGAACTATTTGTGGAGAAGGAGCACCCAAAAAGTAGAGACTGGCAGTGAGGTACAGCAATGAGGAGTAGGAAGGCATTTTCCTAGGCACCTGTCCTCATCGTGATTCCAATGCAAAGGTTCCAGAGAAATGAAAACACCCATCCATTTGCTTCTGTGCTCTCTTAAATGGCTCCATGAAGGGGTCCTGAGGGAGAGGAGAAACCTGTCCACTGATCCCCTCTTAGGGTTCAATGCAAGAATCCATGGGAGAGGTAATACTCTCCTAGCCACACTCCCTGGCTCTCTTCCCTGGCTCCTATAAGATCTATATATTTTCAGGACAATTCTTTTAAACGTATTAATTAGAAATAGATTACAAGTTTATTTAATTACATGAGAAATATTAACATAGAAGAATATATCTAATTTCTGAAAGATTAGAATCTTTGTCTCATCATTACTGTTGCATACATGTGCTTGGAGTACCTAAGGAAGAGCATGCAGGTAAACTCCCCCACAAAAAATGTATGAATCTTCATGCTAGTGTGCAAAATTAGAAGTGAATCTAACTAACAAAGAAGTGAAACTCACTATATACAACATGCTGTTAAAAAGCCACAAACTGAAAAAGGGGTGTGTGAAATCCCGTAATCTTTCAGTTACAGTAATCTTAGGTGTACCATGTAACAAAAATAAATCTAAAAATGTGCAGTTAATGTGATTTGAGATGACACAGCCCTTACTTTTAAGCCAGCAAATCAACTTTTTCCAGTTACAGGAAAAGAATGGAAAGCCAGAAGATTGTCAGTAGTCAAGAGTGAATGAAGAAATTCTGCCTACAGAATAGGGATTACTTTTTATTAATAGTAATATTAATTATATATATTGTGGTAGCAATCCAATTCCTAGTCCGGATCAAGGCTCTGCTGTGAAAAGCAATGTTCTGGAAGATACAGTCCTTCCCACAAAGAACTTCAAATCTAACATGAAACAAGCAAACATAAACATTATAAAGAAAGGGGATAGGAAGCCAAGAGTAATGGCAATGAGGCCATCATCTTGACAAAATCCAAGGTGGCAGTGTCGTAAAAAATGCAACAATTATTGCAGATTCACTCAAATCTGGTCCACACACAGTTTATGTACCAGTATAACTATTTCTGTCAGGAGGAGTGTGATGATTTTTTTTTTTAAACCAAAAAAAAGTTATATTGGTACTTTCCCAAGTGGGCACAGTTATACCAATATCAAAGTGCTTATATCCCTTTCCTGTATGAGAATAAGCTATACCATTATAAGCACTTTTATACCCATTTAGCTGCATCCATACTTGGGGAGTTGTACCACTTTACTATACCAGTAGAGCACTGATGCAACCCCTTACAGTACCTGTTACTTAACACAGTATTACACTTGATCTTAGCTCATAGAGAGCCAAGACATCTTCAAAGCATTGTACAGATATTTATTAATCCAAACTACCCTTGAAAGGCAATAAGTAACTTACCTCTGATATCGTCGCACATTTCAATTTATAACCACATATGCACTTGCGACATCCATGAATTAGAACATCCAGACATCCACGATAACAAGAGAAGTCAGTGAGCCCATTTCATATGCTAACAGAGATAGAAGGAAAAGGAGCCAATCACTCAACTTTGAAGGTTAACACCAATCAAGATGGGACTCAGAGTGCCTGTTGTGATGTTCTTACTCCCTTACATGTTCAATGGCCTATGCTTTGGATCCTAATAAGCTGCCCCTGGTGAACAAAATGCATGGGCTGAAGTGGACTTATGACATCCACTGACCAGGCAAGCATTTTTACCATGCTAGAACATACTGAGTAACTGGCTAGATTTTTAGAGTTTAACATCAATAAGTTAAATCATCTTACCAATGATCAACAATGTTCATACCAATCATCTCTTATCACCTTTTCCTATATAATACCAAATACCACGGCACATCATTTACTAAAAACCTCTACTCTTGTACTTCACAGATTTTTTCCTTACACAATATAACGTTTCAATCATCTTTTAATATATACTTGAGCTCCAACTTTTTAATAAATACCAGACAGAGTACACACACACCTCTTCTGGACAGACTATCAGACAAATAGGCGAATCAAACTGTGAATTAAACATAAAAACTTCCCAATTCAACTCTAATTGTTCTTACAAACCATATACCAAGTTTTAACTAAATTTTAACATAAGATAAAATAAAAAGACTACAGAGAACTTCAGTGTCTCTATTTGCACTGTTTGAAAACCAAATAAATAAAAAGCTGGACAAGTAATCTCTTCATATTAACCAATACTTACCTTGTCTTTGCCCTCCATTAAAATTTAACTGAGGTAGCGTGATCAGTTTCAAAATAAAAAATGTTGATAGTATTAAAATCTGGTGAAAATATGACAGCCTGTGTCAAAATTGTATTTAAAATTTGAAGGAAAATCAATATAACAGACCTGGGAATATCTCCCTTAACATATACACACATTAGGGGTTAAGTCTTGCACTCCTTGTGCACTCAGAACTCCAGGTGCACAAATGATGCAGGACTGGGATTTTTTATTACATTATATATAAATGTATTCTATTAAATTATTTCAGTATTTCCCCTAGTTAAGAACCCAGCCCCACGCTTCTTCCCACTCCTCCCCTTGTCCCTTTATCACGAAATCAGACGTGTTTAGGAAGTAACAAAATGTTCATTGACCCCTGGAACTGGAGGATTGGTTGGAATGTGTTGATAAGGAGGGAATAGTTCAAGGAGCAGCGTTTGCAAACCCCCCCCCCCGTGCAGGGGTGTGGCTGGCGCTGGTCAGTTGCAATCCCCCCATCCCCTTGTCCCCGCAGCGGGATCCCGGAAGGTGGCGGACGGGCAGGGGCTCCCCGGCGGGGGCTGCATGAGAACAGGACGGGGAGGGAGGCTGCTCTGGTCGGGGAGGCTGGACCCCGGTCAGCTCCCCTCTCCCAGCTCGGGGGGACAGACACCCGCCTCCCTGCTCCTTGCCTGGGCTGCACCCGCCTCGCGCCGGGCGCTGCGACTGCTCCACTCCAGCCTGTGCCTCCGGGGGCAGGCTCTACAGACAAATATCGCGAGATGTGGAGGAGGCTCTACGGGATTTTCTCTTAAAGGCACCGCAACGGCAGTAGAAGGGCTATTGGCTTCAGGAGCAAATAACGTGATGTTTTCAATTCTCGCGCTATGCGCTCTGCTCTCTCTGGCAGGGCTGTGGAGCGTTGTTCTTCTGACGTAGGGTTGGGCTCCCTCCAGTCCGTCCCTCTCCCGCTGCAGGGATGCAGCCGGCCCAGTGAACCCCCTCCAGCCAGGGCCTGTTACTGACACGTTACTAACTTGCATGGCCTAACCCTAAAGCACATTGCTCCTGCCCTGAGCAGCCAGCTGGACTCTGTCAGGGAGTAGCCACATGCACTGTCCCAGACACCACTTTGCTGGAGGGGGCCTGTGTAAATTTTAGGGTAGAGGCCAAAACGCTAGTGCTATAAGAATGTATTAACTCCGGTATTCCCATTTGCTCATAGCACTCACAGTTAAAGTAACACTGAAAGTACAGAATAAAAATACATTGCTAGCTGGAGAGTCACCGCCACACTGGTAGTGTAATATAGTAGCACGGCCCGTGTGACATAGTACTACTACACGATTTAAGACAGGCAGTGAAGACAGAATCCGGAATACAGGAGCAATGTACCCAAGCAGAGTAGGACTACTCAAATTGGAATTTAGCTAGGCTCCAGCATTAACAACCTTCATATAACTATTGCTACAAGGATATAAAGCCCCGTCAAATTATTTTAAACTAGGGCTGTCAGTCGCAGTTAATGCATGCGATTAATGCAAAACAAATTACATTTTAAAAGTCACCATTAAACACAGTTTTAATCACACTGTTAATATAATGTTTTTCTGCATTTTCAAATATCTTGATTTCAATTACAACACAGAATACAAAGTGTACAGTACTCATTTTTGATTGCAAATATTTGCACTGTAAAGATAAACAAAAAAATAATATTTTTAAATTCACCTCATACAAGTCCACTCAGGTCTACTTCTGGTTCAGTCAGTCTCTAAGACAAACAAGTTTTACATTTACAGGAGATAATGATGCCCACTTCCTATTTACAATGTCACATGAAAGTGAGAACAAGAGTTCCCATGGCACTTTTGTAGCTGACATTGTAAGGTATTTATGTGCCAGATACGCTAAACATTTGTGTGCTCCTTCATGCTTTGACTTGTAGGCACTACAGTTTTACACTGTTTTGGTTTTGAGAGCAGTTATATTAAAAAAAATAATTCTACATTTGTAAATTGTACTTTCACGATAAAGAGAGTGCACTACAGTACTTGTATGAGGTGAATTGAAAAATACTCTTTCTTTTGTTTATCTTTACAGTGCAAATATTTGTAATAAAAATAATATAAAGTGAGCGCTGTACACTTTGTATTCTGTGTTATAATTGAAATCAAGATATTTGAAAATGCAGAAAAACATCCAAAATATTTGTAATAAATTTAAATTGGTATTCTATTAGTGTAATTTAAATTGTGATTAATAGTAAGTTTTAAATCTTGTGATTAATTGCGATTTTTTAAAATCATTTGACAGGTCTATTTTAAACATATTAAGTTGTACAATAGTTTCCTCAGGGCCAAGTTGGTAAAGTCAATGACAAAAGTTCCATTGACTATGAAACCCAAATTTAGCCCTAAATCACCAGCACTTTGAGGTCAGTATACTTTTATGAACTGTGGCCCTCCTAAACCCACCAAATAAGCAAAAGGTCAGTCAAGAAGGATGCCATCTTTGAATGAACACAGAATTAGATTCCATGACAAGTTACATGTAAGGTGTGTAACGCTGTATACGAGTATTGTTCTCTAGAACTGGAGGTTAGAAGAGCTGTTTGTTAATACAGCAAATTCCAAATTAGCAAGAGATAAACAATCATGTCTCATCTCATGACTTCCAGAATCATCTTAAACATATAGCAAATGATTGTTACTTTTCCCAGCAGTTAGCACCTCGTAGTGGACTGTAAGGTCTTTGGGGGCAAGGAAAGTCTTTTGTTCTGCATTTATTCAGCACTTGGTACAATGGGGTCCTGATCCGTGACTTGGGCTGTAAGAGAGTCTGAGTCTAGTGAGGGCTGATTTATACCATTTTACACATACCTCTGAATTTGGTCCTAAAAATCTTCAATAAAATCCTAAAAGATAACTCTGAAAAAAAAATCAATACCTCTTCCTCCAATTTTTACAGTGAGAAATGAAAGTGACATAGTGTGGAGTTCTCCCCACCCAAAAATCTCCAAACCCTCAAAAAATAAATTTCAAACCCATATCCAAGGAATAGAGAATTAAACAAAATACCACCTTTGTTCCATCCACAAAACAACATTGAGTTCATTAACTACAATAATCAGTAGTTTTCTTCAAGAAAACTTTATAATTACAAGATAATACAATAGATAGAATGTCCTTTACCTGCTTAAATTACTAAACTACATATATTAGACCGTCTACATTTCCTCCTGCCATATCCTGACCTGGTTATTGACTAATGTGATCCTGCTGGCTTCAGTTTCTGAAAAATAGAGAATGTTGTTATACACTGCTTTCTATGGACTGCAACTCTTTCATTGACATCTCTATGTGTCATACATTTCAGTAACTTCGAATCAGTTTGAGAAATAACACTGTCAACCTACTTGATGTCTCTTTTCTCCTGCACATGAATAACTGAAACCATCTAAGTATATACCAGTGGTAGGCAACCTATGGCACACGTGCCAAAGGGAGCACACGAGCTGATTTTCAGTGGCACTCACACTACCCGGGTCCTGGCCACCAGTCCAGGGGGCTCTGCATTTTAATTTAATTTTAAATGAAGCTTCTTAAACATTTTTAAAACCTTATTTACTTTACATACAACAATAGTTTAGTTATATATTATAGACTTATAGAAAGAGACCTTCTAAAAACGTTGAAATGTATTACTGGCATGCAAAACCTTAAATTAGAGTGAATAAATGAAGACTTGGCACACCACTTCTGAAAGGTTGCCAACTACTGGTATATACAATATTATTCCCTTGAAATAATGTCTATGTGCCCAAAATAAATTAACCTTGGTTCTGTATTTGGCAACAAGATCAGACTTCTCCCTTCTCCCCCGCATATTTTTTAAGGATCCTAGTGATAAGTATCCACTTAAATATTAGAGTTGACTCAGAAAACATGTCTTCCTTTTTAATTTATTGGGCAGTGTTGCTTGCCAGTTTTTTTGGCCCGTATTCTTTGTTAAGCTTCCAATTTACCCAATTATTCTTTTTTTTTTCTTCTTCTACACCAATCTGTACTCCAGCCTGAAATACAGAAGGTCGTTTGGGAATGGAGCAAAAGATAGCTGGTATGGTAGCTGGATGTATAGTAATTGCACTTCCTCCCAATGCAGCTGCCATTTGTAGAAGAATCAATAGTGAAAAGGGGATTTAGAAGCATATTTTTTAGAAAACATTATGGAACTAAACAAGCAATTAAAATAATTACTTCATGGAATTTGAAATGCAGGTCTACTGTACTGGGCTAACAAGAGTGGCCTCTGTGACGTTATTGACATGAACTGTGACCATGTAGATCATTGTTGCAACCAAGGTCCTATACTTGCATCAAATCTTGTACAAAGAAGGTCAAGTAAGGTGTCTATAGAAAGGTTGTAATTTGCTGGTTATGATTATGCTATCTGTATGTGTGTATCATTTTTGTATTTGAAGTTATGAATATTGGCTATGTATTTGTATCTCAATGTGTTTGATTCTAAGGAGCCTCAGTGAAGCATTTGGTCAGCTTCTTGAGAAAGGACTATTCTCAGTAAGTGCCCAGTCAAGAAACACTTAACTGACAATGGACTTTGGGAGACACCAATCCACATCTGAGCTTTCCTGGGAATGTTCAAACTAACATGTAAACAATGGCATCGACCTGCAAAAAGCGGAATCATTCATGGACATGTGACTTGCCAAGGTGGCTACAAACTCCATCTTGTTGCTGTGACTTGGCACAGAAGAACAAAGGGGTTTCTGCCCACAACAGAGAGAATATAAAAGGCCCTGGAAGCCTCTCCATTTTGTCTTCAGCTGGGTCAAGAGATGGCCTCTCCACTCCAAAGAGATGCCTGAAAGAAACTGGAACAAAGGTCTGTAACTATGGGGGTGTGAGTGATTGCTGGACCCAGACTAGGAAGGTGTCCAGTCTGTGAAAGAAGCTTATTGGAACATCTCTGGGGGTTATTTTTCATCTATAATCAGTTTCTTAATGTATTAGGCTTAGACTTGCGTGTTTTGTTTTATTTTGCTTGGTAACTTACTTTGTTCTGTCTGTTATTACTTGGAACCACTTAAATCCTACTTTTTTATATTTAATAAAAGCACTTTTGCTTATTAATTAACCAAGAGTAAGTAATACCTGGGGGAGCGAACAGATGTGCATATCTCTCTATCAGTGTTATAGAGGGTAGACAATTTATGAGTTTACCCTGTATAAGCTTTATACAGAGTAAAACGGATTTATTTGGGGTTTGGATCCCATTGGGAGCTGGGTGTCTGAGTGCTAGAGACAGGAGTACTTGCTAAACCATTTTCAGTTAAGTCTGCAGCTTTGGGGGGGTGGGTCAGACCCTGGGTCTGTGTTGCAGCAGATTAGCATATCTGGCTTAACAAGGCAGGGTTCTGAAGTCCCAAGCTGGCAAGGAAGACAGGCTCA